AAGCTCACACCTGAGTGGGCCCCAAAATACCGTGGATGGGGCCATGATACCACAAAAGCAGATTGAACCAATCAGATTCTCTCCTGGAGGTCTGAACATGCCACAGAGCCAGCCAGCAGGGGAGGCCAGAGCTGAGTGCTTTGTGTTCATGGGATGGGCGGTGTGGTGTTCTGAGAAAAAACAAGAAGGTGTTTTTCTGTCCTATTCTAGGATCACTCCCCTCTACACTTAGATACCTGAGCATCCTTTTTCTCCAAGACTGAATGCTGCCAGGCTATGCCAGCGTCATCTTCAGGCTTGGGCTCCTTTATCTCATAGTGAAAAGAACCCCCAAATTCCTCTTTTAGCTTTAGACTTAACATCTCTTTCAACAAGGTGGAGGACACTGGGAACTTGGTGTGAACAGAGGGTAACTTTAGGGTTAGTTCTGAATGTTTTCTGTTCTGCAGACTTAGAGAGTTTCCTGTTTAAACATCTCAGAGAATATCACTGTTGGACACAGGGTACTTGTTGGCTTCTAATAAAAGCCTATAATTAAATTATTTCAGAAGCTAAGAAAACTTAGCTAAATTTTAGAATAAAGTCATTTGGGAATTCTATCAGGTGCTGACTATATTTTTCTTGGTAAACATTCAAATCTACTGTCCTTTTTAGTTAGCTTATACTCAGCAGTGTCCATCCTGAGGAAATTCAGGAGACTTATCTTCAAAGTCAACATTGATTTTAGAAACCTCCTGGAGATAAAGGATCCTGTTGAGACATCACATGGGTAGTGCTTTTGTTTTAGCATATTTTTCTTTAAATGAAAATTTCCTATAACGCACTTGAAATTACAGTCTTTCAGGGGAGAAAATTTATGAAGAGGTTACTCTCGGTCTCCCTTTCTCTGTTCCCCTATTCCCCAAATATGGAGCATCTAGTGATAGAGTTGGGAGTGGGGTGGAGAAGAGCTAGGGGACTGTGAGCCTCTTCCTTATGTTCACTTACAACACTGACTCCAATATTTCTTAAATTACATGTTATTCTCCAATCACCCAAAGCAGATTCTGTATTCCTTTCCTCTTAGAGACCAATTATTTTTAATAGATTAAACTAAACACCTCCCATGTGCAAGTTGCTATGTGTGGTGAGAGTTTGGGAGAAGAGCTCTTAATAGATGATACAGCATTTCCTGGCTTTCCTGGGGCTTGTGGAACAAAGGTGGGCATGACATTTTCACAGGTTGTGCATGCTCCTCCAACAACACCAGCTTGTGGGGGCTACTGATGCATGAGGTGATTAAAAATATCTTTTTTAGTTTTATATCTATATGCACTTGGCTGCAAGTAATGGAAAATGAATAGAGAGTGGTTTAAACAAAATTTTTTTCTCACATTGCTAAAAGTATAGTTCCACAATGTGAGAGTCAGTGACTCTTGAATTATTTACCTTTTCTCATGGTCACAGGATGAGTGTTGGAGTGCCAGTCAAAGCTTACATTAAAGGTAGGTAGAAGGGGAAAGGGTAACCTCACTCCTGTCTCTACCTTTATCTGGAAACCCTTCTCAGAGCTTGCCACAGGTTTCTTCTATGTCTCATTGATAAAAGCATCACATGGCCAGACCCTGGCCCCAAGGGAGTCTGGGCCTAAAAATTCTGCCAAATCTCTGCTGTGCAGTACCTCCAATAAAGGCTATAGTCTCATTGGGTGCTTGTGAGTAGTGACATTGAGGATTGAACCTAAGCATTAAATCATGAAAGCGATGTCAATAGAGTCTCTGGTAGATTAAAGATGGTTGCACATTCTTTTCTACTTCTCTCATTAAGAAGTGGCATTTAAATTTCCTTCCTTAAACTTGGTCTGGTGTTAGTGACCTGCTTTGACAATGGATTGAGGCAGAAGTGACTTTCTGGGACTCCCAAGATTTTCTCTAAGAACCCCACAGCTTTCAACCAAGTGGCTTGAATGGAACACTTGCTTTTAGAGTCCTGAGCTTTTGTAAAAGGTGTCCAGCTTCTCTGAAGCTGCCATGTTGGAGAGGCCCCAGGTAAGCAATCCAGGTGAGCATCTAAGCTGAGCCCAGCCTTCCCTGACTGTCCCTGCCAAAATGCCAGACATACCAGAGACCCACCAGACCAGGCCATCTTCCAGCTGAGTGCCAGTAAGTAACATCTGTTGATACCAGAGGGGACAGATGAATCACCCAGCTGCCTATACTCCTGACCTACAAAATTGTGAGATAAAATAACACACTTGGGGTGTTATTCTAAGTGTTTCTAAGTTTGGGAGTGTTATTCTTGGTGTTTTTAAGTTTTGGAGTGACTTCTTACTTAGTAATAGAAAACTGGAACATAACCACCAGTTTTTATTTCCTGTGCTCAAACTGTGGTCTTCCCTTCTTAGAAGGCAATGTACTGTCTTTAAATTTAGGCCAAAATGTTAGGCTCAAATTCAGCTGTTTGGACTAAATTCTAATATATACACATTTAGAAACCATTGGGAAGTTTGGGCATTTTTTTGTCTCTGTGATCGATTCCTGGAATTTTGGATTGAGCATGTGACAATCTTGCCCCTAGCAGGTGAAAGCACACTCCATTCTCAGCATTGAATTTAAGTGGTGGATGTGAGTCTTAGCATTAATCTATAGACATAAGCATACTAAGCAGTAGGAACTATACATATTTTGAGGAGGTTTCCATAAGGGGTTGGTAAATAAAGCATTGATTGTGGATATGCTTTCTGAGAGAAAGCTGAACAGAGAGTGGAACAAGAACTTGGGTAATTTGAGGAGACTCTGTTGGGTGCTCAGAAGGTAAAGAGATGACTCTCAGAGTTCATGCCAAGGCTACGGGAGGAATTGTGGCAGGAAGCATTGATATCCCATGCCGCAAAGAGGTTCAGGAGATTGCAGTTCAAAGAAAACCATCAGCTTGCAGGGGCCCTTGTCACATTTCATTGTGACCTAGGTCAAATATATATTGTTGAAAAAAAGACACCTCCTTTTACTAATTGTGTAATTAACTTAATGAGGTATCTCCCCTTTTGGGGGCAAACACATGATATAATTTCATTTTTTTTCATAACCACTGCCAGCTGTGAACTGCTGAGCCCTCTTTTCACTGGGTAGGAGCCCTCTAGTGACTTTCAGTCCATTCCCAGAACTCTTTAATAATAACAGTAGGTTATTAGAACAGTTTAGTTCTGAGTTTTAAGATTTAGTCTTGTTCACTTTAAAATTTTAATCTCACAATTATCTACCATTGTGAATGTGTGCGCATGCATGTGTGTGTTTTGTGTTTATGTTGGGTCTGTCATCTTATATCCTCTTTATTTCCTTGGACTCCCAACTCTGGGTTGGCAGAGGCTAGCAGGAGGGCCAGAGAAGCTCTGTGAATCATTGCCTTCGACCAGGATGTGGTCCTTTTAGCTGCTTCTGAACTGGACTGGGGTCCTTTTGGTGTGTTTCAATAATGCTGCCTCTCTGGAGCTGGGAGAGGGCACTGGGTGGCTTCCCAAATGTCCTGGGAGAGTGGTCTCATCTGACACACTCACCTGGTTTTCATGATAATGTTAACATCTCCAGCATCTTGATCTTTGAAGATCCTCAACATGTAAGTTATCTTCTCAGATCACGTGTTCCATTAAAAAGAAAATGAGGTTTTCCCTAAGTCCATAGGAAGTTTCAGCTATTACCTAATCAAATCTTCTCAATTCTAAAGGGAACAGAGCCTGAGAAAGACCACCTAGGTGACACCCTTGGTCAGTAGCTTTGCTGGGATTTTCACCCCAGTACCCTGTCTTCTAGTCAAGTGTTTACTTCCCACACCATATATATGTCTACACAGTCAATCATTTTTGTTTCCAAGAACTTACTTGAGCCTCATTTTGTCTTTTCAAAGACAAATGGTAACCCAAATTTCACTTCATTTTTCAAATATGGCTGAAACTTGGTTTTGTGAAAACACAGGATGATTGTTTGTGACAACTGTCACTTTTTTTACCTTTGACTCAATGGGACAATGGGAGAGGGTTGCCAAGAAATGGACACAGTAAGTGGTAATGTTTCTTCCCAGGGTTGTAATGGATTGGTTAGGTATCTTCATCTTGTAAAAAGAATATAAATGACTTCCCTGGAGTCATTTTAAGGAAAAGTATCATCATAAAATACTCCCAAGGAAGTAAAGCTATAATTTCCTGCTCACTACTTATTGCTTTGCCAGACCTTCTTGAAGTTCATTAGCTGACATATCGGTGTGGAAAAACTGAGTCACTGCAAAGTTAGAGATTCCCCTGTGTACTCCCTTAGTTTAGACTGCATAGAAGTATTCATTTATCTTGAAAGTTGATGTTAGTGTCCATGTTTCCTGTCTATACTTACTAAATGCCTACTCTTATACTAGTTCTATTTGGAAGTCATCTGGTTAGATCTGGGACACATCTGAAGCAGGACCAGAATCTGAGGGAGATAATAACTTTCAGAAGAGGTAGTTTATCAAAACCTGGGAGTTCTATTCAGGCAAGTCAAAAACTGGTGTGATAAGCCTATATAATCATAAGGTAATTTAATTAAATTTACTCAACCTACTAGAACATACTAGAGGGTGCCACCTGATGTTTGATAAAGGCAAAGACAATGAAATGACTCCAAATATCTTAAGGAAAGGTATAGAAGTCATTCATGAAGAGGTGGCACATATTAAAGTACCAAGATTCAAACAGGGTCTGATTTATTCTTTCCACAATAATAAATACATATCTTCAAGAAAGGTATTTTTGTGTCAATATACTAAAAATTATTTAACCAGCCTCTATCATAGGAAATTAAGTTGTTTTTAGTTTTTAATTATGATAAAGCTAGTTAACATACTTGCCTCTTATGACACTTATCTCTAGTTCTAGCAGGTCCATGAATAACATCATTTAGTTATAATGTTGATGAGATACCTTAGGAACTTAACTCTTGCTTATTTCAGTTAGCTTGTGGTAACATTGATTTTCTTTTATGTCTTTCCACTTAAAGTTGCAGAGCCTATTGGCGATGTTAAGTGAGGACCTTCTGGCAAATTCCTTCTGGCAAGTTCCTAGGAATGAATCTGAGGATCCTAAATGATGTACCTTTCCAGGGCTTGAGGTAAAATACCTTCAGGAAAGAACTACATATTTACAACTCTTGACATTGGTAGGGGGTTGTTTCTCTTGGAGAGAAACTCAAGGTCAATAAGCCACTAAGCCCAGGAAGTGGAATTCACTCAGTAAGTGGGTTTCAAAATGCACACCCTGGGCAGAGAAGTGGATAACATGTTTATTTACTTCCTCCACTACCCAGTCTCTGGTGTTTGCTTTCTCATATCAGACATGTAAATGGAATATGTTCAATGTTCTCATGCTATGTGATGTTGTCAAGCCTTGGAAACCTTCAGCCTATGTCATGGAGGGGATGCTATCCTGGAGAACTGTGAGCCTAGCTTGCCCAGGATGGTTAGGTTTTGGGCAGACAGGCCATTCCTGAGTAGACTTTTCAGGTTCTTAGCAACAAAGAGGCAGCAAAGCAACAAATTCTTACATGACCAGGGAGTTTCCTCAAATCTTGAAAGAACCTAAGTGCAGATCATTAATTTTAATTGAAATAGTAATATAAAAATAATTCTCAATAGCAATTTCTGTAACAGAGACTCACTGAGAGTGGTTGACCAGAGTGTCTGTGTGAAAGTATATCTGAGATACCAAAGATGAAAGGTTTTATTCATGTCTCCTCAATACCCTGTACTCTGAGATTTGTTTTTTCTGCACCTACAACCACTTCATCCTACCTCGATTCATTTTATATTTTTAAGAAAGCATGGCAACAATTTTAGTCTCATAATTGTCTTTTATCTCCAGCCATTCCACCTCCTCCCTAGACCTTTTCAGAATGCATCAGACTGAAGGGATTATGTAGTATGCCGTGGCTAATTAAGTATCAGGGTTTAATTCCCAGATCAGCCATTTGCTCACTGTATAGTAGTGGACAAGTTCCTAAAATCTCTGTGAGCTAGGAGGAGGATGATGCTTACCTTATAACATTGCTTGGGGGATTAAATTGAATGAGATAATATATGGAGTGTCTGTCACAGAATAAGTGCTCTTTAAATTATAGTTATGATTAGATGACATCAGTGATGGCTTCCAACTCTAGGTCTTTTTGAGCATAGGTTCTGCGAATTTTTAAATTACAATGATTTCTCAGTTTGTTGGTTGATTTTCCAGATTTTTCAGGGAATAATTATTTCTCTTGTATCTCCCCACATCCTGTCCAGCCTGAAGCCCTCTTCTAGGCATAGTGTGCCTCACAGCAGACACTGATGTATATTACCCAGACCTACACCTTGTTTGCAATAAACTTAGTTACTCCTTGCAAACCAATGGTGGTTTTTACATGCCGAATAGATTAGGGAGAGTGTATGTGGGCAGGCCTAGAGAATACAAACTTGTAAAGCTATTTTAAAAAGGATATATTTTAGAGTAAAATTGTATTTTTCCCCCCGGTTCTGGAGCAGAAGCAAGGTACGCCACTGGATGCTTAGAAAATTTAATGGGTGGTAAATATACAATACACTATACAGGTGATATATTATAGAATTGTATACTTGAAACCCATATAATTTTATTAGCTATCAACTCAATAAATTATAAATAAATTTAAAAATTTTAAAAAAAATTTAAGAAATAAAAGTTAATACATGACTCTGCAGAGCAGGAAGTGACCTCATGAAACATGTCCCCAGAGATGGCACAAACTGGGGAAGTGTGTTGGCCAAGTATCTGGAAGAAACTGGGGATAGAGCATCATAGCAATGTGTTTAGAAATCACCAGGAACATCCTGAACCTTTTTTTCCTTTTGGAAATAAGCAATCTATCAGATTCAGAGTTCAAAACACTATTTATAAGGATGCTCAGGGAACTCAGTGAGGACCTCAGCAGCATAAAAAAGACCCAGTCAGAACTGAAGGACATAATAATTGAAATACAGAACAATTTACAGGGAAACAACAGTAGAGTCTATTAAGTTGAGAATCAAATCAATAATTTGGAACATAGGAACCAAAAACAACCACATAGAACAACAAGAAGACAAAAGAATCCAAAAAAATGAGAATAGTATAAAAAGCCTCTGGGACAACTTTAAGAAGTCCAACATTTGCATCATAGGGGTGCCGGAAGAAGAGAAAGAGCAATAAATTGGGAACCAATCTGAAAAAATAGTGAGAGAAAACTGATTTGGTAAAGGAAATAGACTTGCAAGTCCAGGAAGCACGGAGTCCCAGTTATGGTAGATGAAAGAGGCTCACTCCAAGACACTTCATAATCAAAAAGCCAAAGGTTAAAGATAAATAGAGACTCTTAAAAGTAGCAAGAGAAAAGAAGTCAGTTACCAGATGATTGCCAGATGGCAAGAGGAAGGGAGAGAATGGGTCAGAACACCCTGAACCTTTTGAGGTCAACCTTGGGAAAAACAATCCCCACTGTGATTCACAGCCTTGGCCTGGAGCCACTGTAGACTAGCCTCTCTGGGCTGTCTCACCTCTTCTCTGAGCATCCCTTTTCTCTTGGAACTTTTGTCCAGCTTGTGAGCCCCCCTTATTCCAATTCCTGATCTTTCCCTCTTTCTTTATGATAGCCTGTCTAGGGGCAAGAAAGTAATGAGTCCATACTTTCACGTAGTTTATATTGAACGCAATTCATCCTTTCAACTACCTGTGCAAAAGGCAGGACAGTTTTTACTACATCCATTTCGTTGGGGTTTAAATAGTTCAGGGAACTAAGATCTTCATCTCCAGCCCAGTTTCTGATCATTTTACCATGAGTTCCATCTGGAGGTGTGTTGAGACTTTATTAGCTGGTAAAGTTCATGGAATGCCATTGTAGAAAGCATTTACCTCTCAATAGGTGTCTTCAAAGAAAGCTGCTGTTAGAATTTAGCCAAAGTGTAATGGTCATGAGAGAGATTGCCAGATTGCATTTACTCACCTCTGTGGTTATGTAGGCAATGACCTACAATGGTACATCATGGGGCTGGATGAGTGGAAGTAGATTTGGCCATGGAAGTGGCCCTACCTCCACATATCACATATATTATTTAAAAAATTTGTAGCATTGAATAGCAGTACAATTTTTGACACAGCTGATGTAAATTTTGAATGTGATTTGATTCTAAGGTTTCTTAAAGTAATGAAAATTGATCTGCATACCATAGGAAGAAAAATGGAAGAGAAGATAAAGAATGTGACTTTAGTCCAGAAGTTGTTCAATATAGTACATAAGAAACCTGAGTATGTCCAACCTGGCAGAAGCATCGTCCCAAAGAAACATTTATTAGGTTGCTTTTAAATTGGGTTTGATTTAGACAGTAGTAAAGGCAGAAATGTGTTTTTATTTATTCTAGTTATTAGTTTTGGCATTTATTTTATTGCATGAGATGAGTTTCCAACAGCAGAGCTCTCATTACAGTAGACCATGAAGAAAAAGGGTTTGACTTGAGACTGCTCAATTTGGGATCATTGTCCAGCAGCCAATTAAATGGTGAGGTGGTGATTGGTAGCACTGTTTGTCAATGATGTGGCTGAGGAGTGTGACTATGCTTTGTTACTACTGCACCTCAGAGATTGCCTGTTGGTGGCTGCCGGCTCTCTATTTTCTGCTTCATCCAAGCCTCTGTGTCTGCCTTTGTGGACTGGGTGCAGTATACAGAAGGGTTTTAAACTTCTCTTGGCAGAGGAAATAACTTCTTGAATGGTGTCCAAGCCAAAAAAGATTCTCTCCAATTTGGTAAATATCAAGTGCCACACACACACTTATGGGTCACATAACTAAATGACCTTCATTATAGCCAGAATTCAGGACTTTTGTGCTTAAGCTCATTTAGCCCAGTGTTAGGTGGGCAGCACATGTACTCTGAGCTGGGCTGTATTCTGCAGGCAAGAATGAATGTGCAGCATGTTGGCACCTAATGAAGGGTGTGGTAGATGAGTGAATGTATGAAACTGGTGTGAGCCCTGATGATATCTGGTTCACACAAGTGGTCCTGAGCCTGTTTTCATTAATGTTTACAAGTGGAGATTATTTGGGGCTAGAACCAGAGTGATCACCCACACTCATGGACTTGTGGAAGACAAGTTTACCTGCATGTAACTGATGGCACATCAGCCTTGAACATTTCTGAAAGTATAAGTAAGAGAATGTCACCTGTAGTTTTCTCTGGGAAGGAGGACAAGTGTTCTGGGATGGGTGTGATACTACTTTTCAAAGCATTGTTTTACCAAATGCTCATATCTCTTTTTCATTTGCTAACTTTCTCTACCTATATTAGAAATAACTGTGATCTTAGCCACAAATCACTAAACATTGCTGATTTTCACGTTTCTTATTTGCAAAACAAAGGATTTGAGTTAGCACCCTTTTAACTTCTTTTCTAGCTCCTTGTAAGGATTCATTTAAAGACTAAAGTACTTTAGGAAGTCGGTTGTACCTATAAACAATTTCCCATGTAAGATATTTAAGTTGGCCACAAAGCCTGAACGGTGTTTTTCAACCCAGCAATCTGTTCAACAGATAGCCAAGACAATGGAAATGTCTAAGGTCAATCACACAAGCTACCCTGTCTCCAAACAATACCAGAAAGGGATACTGTGTATCACTTCCAGTAGATCCAATAGTTGCAACAGATCTTCCTGTTTGAGTGGATGGGTGGGACTTTTAAACCCTTTTAAGTCAAGCCAAAAACTGGCGTCCAGGCCAACACTGAAAAAAGACCATTGCTTTTTGGTCAGGATTCATGAAGTCTTCTGTGATTACTCATTAAATGGCCTTGTTTTCAGAAGCTGTCCTCATGCTCATCATTGATATGAACCAGTTTTTGAAAGCCACCATTGAGTCATGACTGGCTGGCATCCTTCACAAAATACTCTCAGAGTGGAAATATTCGTGCTTTACTGAAGTCAAGGGGCCTAAATAAACAGTCATTTCTTCCCTCAGTGGACAACTTTAATAGGCTGGAGGTTATTGTCAACATCCATTTGAGGTCAATTGATATAATGAGGTTAGTTATGGGAACATATATTTCTTTAGGTTCAGTAAAACATCAGTTTTATGTA